GTACGACACGCTGAGCGCCACCGAGAAGAACAACATGGACGCCGCCATGAAGACCGAGTGGCCCAAGAAGACGGAGTTCGGCGCCTACGAGGAGCTCCCGGTCAAGGAGCCGAAGAAACTCCTGCGGCGCAACCCCGGCATCCGCCCTGTGGGCACACGCTGGGCGCTGACCAACAAGGGCCAGAACACCACGAAGGCACGCCTGGTCGCGCAGGGTTGCCAGGGGGACAAGTCGCCGATCAGGGCGGACGCGCCTACGGGGCCCAGGGACGCGCTGTACCTGACCCTGGCCGCCGCGGCCCAAAGGACTGGGAGATCTCGTCGTACGACGCGATGACGGCCCACCTGCAATCGGGCAACATTGACAGGCCACTGCCCCTGCGCATGCCGGCCAAGAACCCGCCGCCGGGGACCCAGCCTGGCGAGATCGCGACGGCCACGGGCGCGATCTACAGGACGCGCGATGCCGGGAGGCAGCGGCACCTCTACGCGCAGAAGGTCTTCGCCGAGCACGGCCTCGTGGAGAGCAAGCTCGAGAAAGGCCCCTACTACTTCCACGACGAAGGTGGGCTCGCCGCGGCGGTCCACTCACACGTGAACGACTTCCTTATCGCCCAGCGCAACAACTCCACCATGCGGAAGACCACTATTGCATCGCTAGGGAAAAAGCTGCACCTCAAGCCAGTCGAAAAGGTCATCAAGTACTGCAGACGCACGATTACCAAGCTCGACGACGAGTTCCGCGTGACCCAGGCCACCGCTGCCGCGCAGGTGGACTACGTCGACTTGAAGGCCCAGAAGGGCCGAGGTGCTGAGGATCGGCTCACCGCCACCGAGGTGGCGAGCTACCGCCACACGCTCGGGCAGCTGTTGCGGCTAGCCGCGCAGACCCGGGTGGACATCGCCTGCCTAGTGAGCTTCGCAGCCCGACGCACCAACGTCGCTGCCGTGGCCGACGCGAAGACGCTCAACAAGACCGCCGCCTACGTGCACTCCACCGCGAACTTCGCGATCGTGCTCAAGCGCAAGCTCGTCGACCTGAAGACGGCCATCACCGCGTGCTTCAGCGACGCCGCGTTCGCCAACGTGGACGGCGTCAAGAGCCAGTGGGGCATGGTGATGGGGCTCACCCATCGCCCGCGTGACGTCGTCGGCGGCTGTTACGACCTGTGCCTGCCCGTCGGCTGGCACTCTGGCACAGTCAAGAGGTCGGTGAAGTCGACCCTCGCTGCCGAGGGCTACGCTACCCTCGAGGGATCGGGGACCAACATCTGGTTCCGACAGCTGCTGACCAAGGCCTACAACCCCACGACGGCGCTCAAGCATATCGACGTGCTCGCCGACAAGCGCCCTGGGGAGATCTACAGCGACAGCAAGGGTCTCGTGACGCACATCGTTTCAGATGTGGGCCAGTCTACCGACAAGCGGTTCCGCATCGTCGCCTCAATGATCAAGGAGGCCGCACACCCCAACAGTGCGCTCAAGCTCAGCTGGATCCCGACCTGGGCCATGGTCGCGGACGCCTTGACGAAGACGATGGAGGTGGGCGTCCTGCTGTCGTTCTTCGGGGCCCGCAAACACACCTACGGGACCCGGCAGCCACACGTTGCCATGCTCGCCTCAGTCCTGTTCACCTGCCTCGGCAAGGTCAAAGGGACAGCCTACGCCTACGCCGACTATGCCGGACTACAGCTTCTACATCTGCCTGCTGAAGTTCACGCTGGTCCTCGGCATGACTATCGGTTTCGGCATCTTCATGACGCTCTGGACGATCATGAGGCAGAATAACGCGAGCGCCACCGAGGAGAGCGTCGCCGAGGCGAAGGCCATGGGCGAGCACCCTGGCTGGGACGGCCGCATGCTCGGCCGGCGCCGCAACATGCCACCTACCATTCCAGAGGATCGTGATCACCATGGTGACATCACGATGTCCCACGCGGACGTTTTCAGCAACGCACAAGCATCGAGTTCAGTAGCCTCTGCGATTCAACAGCCGCCGCCACCATTATTGCCGACAGAACCACCACCTGTCAGCGCACCGCCATCACCATATACCGCAACATCAGCACGGGGATCTGGACGATCAAGATCAGCAAAATCGCAGGGAAATTCGGCCCCCGCATCACCAAGCGTTGTTACCGTGACGAATTCATCGAGTTCCGTGTCAGCCACATCAGCCAGTGTTGTATCATGGAGCGGCTCCTCACCGACAGTGCAGCCGAATGACATGCTCAGTTGCGTGACCGGTATTCCCCATCATGATGTTGTCATCGGCCATAACCCGCACAGTGTCTACATCACTTGCAAGACCTGCAAGAAGCACGCGTCGTGGCTGCTTCGGCATTATCATTTCGGCAACCCCGATTTCACGATTTTCCTGGAGAGTGTGATGAACGAATGGGCCGCTGGTGGAAGCTCACAGGAAGAGACTGCTGGCGAGGATCCGACCTGACGGACAAACCGGCGAAGCCAAAGAAAAAAAAGTGAACCCCGCTTGGTTTTCGGACAGCAGAATGGCCGATCGGACCAGCAATATTCTGCTGCTCAAATTATATACCCGGCGATTCAACGTAAGTCCGCATTGCTGCTCAGAATTCGTATTCGGCTATTCATACGTTAGTCCGCATTGCCGCTCAAATTCCATACCCGGCTAAAGATTTATGTAAGTCCGCATTGCTGCTCAGATTTTACGCCGGGCTAAAGATCCACACGTAATTCCGCGTTTCGAGAAGCTTCATTCGTTCAGTGTGCACGGCTTTGTTTATAGATGTGATGACGATCACACCCGTTCAGTACTTAGATCTTATCTCGATAAGATGGCCATATCTGTGTGGGGGGGGTTGTCGCTTCGCGATCGAACTCTTGCCATTGCTTGCTCTGTTTTTGACTAAGCGCCGGCGGCGCTGAGAGCTGAGTATACCTTGTATCCGTGTCGAGCCGTTTGCTCGCCTTCTGCCAGCATACCTTAGGGAGCCCACAAAGGACGTACGCGCCCAGCTATGTACATGAACACGGCCCCTCGATTCGCGAGACAGGCCGCGTTATACGAACATTTACGCAATGCGTACTCTCGAAACCAGCGTGGATTCATGTACGTGTACGTCCTTTTGTCGCTCCTGATACCTGGCCCTCCGCCCAACGAAGAGCCAGGCACTTGTATGCCCGAGCGCTCTCGTGCTTCGCGCCCTCGCGCCGTGCAGGGGGAGTGTGGTTCCAGAAGGCTCGCAGGCCTTCTCACCCATTTTGAAGGGGAACTGGAACACACAAATAAATACACGCAAATAAAAATATCCCCCATATTTTCCCCATATTTTCTGGGTTTTTGTCTTCCCCACCACTTCCCATATTTTTGCATATTTTCCTGGGAGTCGACGATTAATTGTGTCTGTGTGTTTCTTTCCCTCCTGACATTTCCCGCTCTCCCGCTCTGTCTCTCACGCCCGCTCTACCGCAACCGTTTTTATTCAAACTAGGGCCCTTGGCCTTAGAGCTACGCCCCTCGCCGCGCGAGTAAGAAGATCCATCGGCTATCTTCCATATCACACAGGGCAGGGCTGTTTAGTGAACGCCCGGGGCCGTTTGGTAAACGCCAATTATCGGGTCCGGGTGGTTGTTCCTCCCTTGACTCGTGCAGGAAATCCTGGAGGCCTCGCGCGGCAACTTGCGACAAAATGCACCACGCCGACTTGACCTCGGGCTCTCGTCGGATCACGTCGAATTCACGCCGCCGGCGCGGACGCCGCCGCCCCACACCTCGCGGAGCGGACGTGCGGACTGGGTGGTACCACAATGGCGCGCCGCGCGAGGCCTCCAGGCTTCTCCCCCTGGGTGGACCGACGCCTGCCGTGATGGAGGAGGAGGCGGAGGAGGAGGCGGAGGAGGAGAGGGAGGCGGAGGAGGAGGAGGAGGAGAGGGAGGCGGAGGAGGAGGAGGAGGAGGAGGAGGAGGGGGAGGGAGAAGGGCCGCCTGCGGGCTGCGGGCCGCGGCTGCGGCGTGCCAGGGGCCTCCCCGGGACCCGCTCCTCTTCCCCCCGGCCGCTCGCGGACGGCCCTGGTGCCCAGAAGGGAGGGGCAACGATAGGGGGGGAACGGCGTAGGGTGGGGGGGGGGGGGGAATCCACGTAGCATCCACGTAGCAGTTTGATGAGGGAGATTCCAGCTTTGCGGCGGCGAGCATTGCGAGCTACACAAATCTCATTTGATTTTTGCTGCTATGGAAAGGGATGGAGGGAGCGGACACATGTTTTGTTCGGTAATGTTGCCGACCACTGTGTCGCTCCTCTGCGAAATCGGCTCTGCACTGAGTAGGCGATACATCGCCGATAGATCGGCGGCGGTAGGCCACTGACAGAGGATCCGCACGCTCCTCCTGGGCGGGGGTGGGATATCGGACCACTACCGGCGAGGAGTGCACGACTGGGGGTCAATGCGTTTCCTCCTCTGCTATCCCCCCCTGTCGTTGCCCCTGTAGAAAGGCCCCGAGAGGTCGAAGGCGGGGGAAAGCCTCGGAGCCCCATCTTCTCCGCAGCAATCTTCTATCATCCGGAGTGTAACGACACTCCTCCTACTCCTCCTCCTCCTCCTCCTCCTCCTCCTCCCTCCTCCTCCTCCTCCTCCTCCTCCTCCTCCTCCTCCTCCTCAGCAGCAGCAGCAGCAGCATCATCACCCCGCCTCCTCCTCCTCCTCCTTCTCCTCCTCCTCCCTCCACCGCCGGCACCATGTCACGAGCTTGTGTCAAGGTCATCAGCTCGTCGTTGTCGTTGTCGTTGTGGTCGTCGTCATGGTCGTTGTCGTCGGAGTCGTCGTCCTTCTGGGTCGTCGTCCTTCTGGCTCTTCATCGCAATCTTCCAACATCCGCTCAACATCGGTCTACGGACCCCTCCGGGCGAACCACGCTGGCTGGCTCTTCGAGCTGCGCCCTGCCGTGGCCACGAGGACCTGCATGCACGGACAAAGCCCTTCAAACGACAACGACGACGACGGAATGGCGGGATGCAGCGCCTTCGGCACCTCGCCGTGCTTGGACGCCGGCTCCCCCGCGTCCGCGCTCGCGGCGGGGTCCAGCGCCTTCGGTACCTCGCCGCACTTGGACGCCGGCTCCCCCGCGTCCGCGCTCGCGGCGGGGTCCGGCGCCTTCGGCACCTCGCCGTGCTTGGACGCCGGCTCCCCCGCGTCCGCGCTCGCGGCGGGGTCCGGCGCCTTCGGCACCTCGCCGTGCTTGGACGCCGGCTCCCCCGCGTCCGCGCTCGCGGCGGGGTCCAGCGCCTTCGGCACCTCGCCGTGCTTGGACGCCGGCTCCCCCGCGTCCGCGCTCGCGGCGGGGTCCAGCGCCTTCGGCACCTCGCCGTGGTTGGACGCCGGCTCCCCCCGAGGATGGGAGAGGGGGGGAGGCGGGAGGGGGGAGGAGGAGGCGTGAGAGTTGTAGGGTGATTTACGGTTCGTGTTCATTGCTCGGGGGAGGCAGGAGGAGGAGGGATCAGAAATGATGACGAAGATGTTGCAGCTGCTGCTGATGTTGATGATGATGGTGATAGTGATGGTGGTGGTGACGGTGATGGTGGTAGGGATGAGTATGATGAGTATGATGATGATGATGATGATGATGATGATGATGATGATGATGATGATGATGATGATGATGATGGTGGTGGTGGTGGCGGTGGTGGTGGTGGTAATGGTGATGGTGAAGGTGATGGTAATGGTGACGGTGATGGTGATGATGGTGTTGATGAGGATGATGAGGATGATGATGATGAGGATGCTGTGGATGATGACGGTTGAGGATCTGGAAATGGTGCTGAGTAGTTTGAAAATGATGATCAAGATGCTGATGATGATGCTGATGCTGATGCTAATTATGATGCTGATGGTGCTGTTGCAGGTGGTGATGATGATGGTGGCGATGGTGATGCTGAGGAAGAGGATATTGGTGACGACGATGATGAATACTATGGTGGTGATGGTTATGATGATGGTGGTGGTGATGGTGATGGTGGTTGATGGTGATGGTGATGTTGGTGCTGATGATGATGATGGTGATGATGATGCTGCTGAACACAACAAAATTGCGAAAAGAACGAAGAAACTAATACTCATACTCGTAGTAGCAGTAGTAGTAGTAGTAGTAGTAGTAGTAGTAGTAGTGGTAGTAGTAGTAGTAGTACTACTACTAGTAGTAGTAGTAGTAGTAGTAGTAGTACTAGTAGTAGTAGTAGTAGTAGTAGTAGTAGTAGTAGTAGTAGTAGTAGTAGTAGTAGTGGTAGTAGTAGTAGTAGTAGTAGTAGTAGTAGTAGTCGGCGTGGTAGTAGAATAGAAATAGTAGCAGTAGTAGTAGCAGTGGAAGAGTAAGAACTAGTGATAGTGGTAGTAGTAGTCGGGGGGTAAGAACAGTAGTAACATCAGCAACATCAGCAGCAGCACCAGTAGCATTAGCTGTAGAAGTAGGTGGTTGCAGCACTAGTACTAGCACTGAAAAAAAGAAGTAGTAGTAGTTGTTGCTATTGTAATAGTAGGTAGTAGTAGTAGTAGTAGTAGTAGTAGTAGTAGTAGTAGTAGTAGTAGTAGTAGTAGCAGTAGTAGTAGTAGTAGTAGTAGTAGTAGAAGTAGTAGTAGTAGTAGTAGCAGTAGTAGTAGTAGTAGTAGTAGTGGTGGTGGTGGTGGTGGTGGTGGTGGTGGTCGTAGTAGTACTAGTAGCACACTCAGTAGTAGTAGAAGTAGTAGTCGTAGTAGTAGTAGTCGTAGAAATACTGGTGGAAGTAGTTGTAATAGTAGTCGTAGTAGTCGTAGCAGTGGTAGTAGTAGTAGCAGTAGTAATACGATTAGCCGTAGTATATTACTAGTAATCGTAGTAGTATTTGTAGTAGTAGTATAAGTACTACTACTACTACTACTACTACTACTACTACTACTACTACTACTACTACTACGACTACTACTACGACTACTACTACTACGACTACTCCGACTACTACTACTACTACTACTACTACTACTACTACTACTACGACTACTACTACTACTACTACTATACTACGACTACTCCGACTACTACTACTACTACTACTACTACTACTACTACTACTACTACTACTACTACTACTACTACGCTACTACTACTACTACTACGACTACTACTACTACTACTACTACTACTACTACTACTACTACTACTACTACTACTACTACTACTACTACTACTACTACTACTACTACTACTACTACTACTACTACTACTACTACTACTACTACTACTACTACTACTACTACTACTACTACTACTACTACTACTACTACTACTACGACTACTACTACTACTACTCCTACTACTACGACTACTACTACGACTACTCCGACTACTAATAATAATAACAATTATAATTCTACAACGACGGCGACTACTACTACTACAACTACTACTAATAATAATAATACGAATAGAAAATAATAATACGAATACTAATACGACTAGCAGTAGTAGTAGGAGAAGTCGTAGTAGGAGTAGGAGCAGTAGCATCAGTAGTAGCCAGGGTAGTACTGGCACTCGTCATCGGAAAACAAATGCACTAACAAAACAATAACAACAACAAACAAAATAGCGAAAACCATAAATAATGACAAAGCTGAATAGTATGATGATAGTGATGATGATGGTGGTGATAGTGCTGAAGATAGTGACCGTGATGGTGATGGTGATGATTATGGTGAAAATGGGCCACAGACGGAAGAAGAGGAGGAGAACAAATGATGAGGAGAAGGAGGAGGGAGGAAGAGGAGGACGCATCTGCTACCGCGGACAACGGGCACTGCACGGCCTCGCGAACAAACGAAGAAACTCCGAGCCAACCAGGGCGGACCTGCCCCGCCCCGGTCAAAGTCCCGCGCGCCCAAAACTGAAATCCTCCTCACCCTCCTCCCCGTAATTACCTCTCCTCCTCCTCGTCCTTCTCCTCCTCCTCCTCCTCCTTCTCCTTTTCCTCCATTTCTCCTCCTCCTCCTCCTCCTCTGCCTCTTCCCCTTCTCCTTTTGTTTTTTATACTCCTCCTCGTTCACCTCCTCGTCACCCTCCTCACCTTCCTTACCCGTCCTCAGCTCTCGCCCCTCAAACTCCACCACCTCCCTCCGCTCCTTCCTCTTCATTCCTTCAGCCTCCTCTTTCTCACACTCCCATTCCCCCATGCCTTCTCCACTTCAACTTCCCCTGCGCCACGTCCCCTCCTCCTCCCTGCCGCACCTGCCACCACGGCCGCATCCCGCATCCAGCCATCGCATACCCCTCCGGTGCCACATCCTCACAGCTTCACCCTTTTCCACATCGTACCCGCATCAACAACAACAACAACAACAACAACAACAACAACAACAACAACAACAACAAAAACTAAAACAAAAACAAAAACAAAAACAAAAACAGCAATCATATTGAGACAGTTCGCGCTTTTTGCTCGTGTACCACTCAACATGCACACTCCCATCTCCGCGCATGAACGTAAAGCACCCACTTCGGGAGGCCACTCTGCTCATGCCGATTACTCGGCCAGCCCAAACAAGGTGAGACAAGCGGGCCAGGCGGGTGGATCCGAACGGTCCTTAGCGAGCACACTATTCTGGCGCCGTGGAGGCGGGCTGGCGCTTGCCTTCGAAGATGATGGCGTGGCCTGCCGCATGGTCACGGCGGCCATCTCCTTCGGCATGGCCGCGCGCGTCGCGCTCTCGGCCGGGAACGCAGGCTTCGTGGAAGGGCCGACTGGCGCAGGCGCTCGCGCAAGCACCCACGCGCGCGGCCCGCGCGCGGGGCCGCTGGCGCGAGCCAGCGCGCAGGCGACCGAAGCCGCGCGCGGCCCGCGCACTGAACGCGAGCACGGCCTCGGACGTTGCACGCGCATGCGCACGCACACGTTGACACATCGCTTCGCGCACTGTTGCACATGCCTTTCCCACCATCAACTGCCAGAACACCAATTCTACACAGTTCCATCCGCGCCACCCCCAAACGAAAGATGAGGGCGACGAGGTAGGTTTTGGCCAGGCTGGACTGGAGCGCGTCGGTCACACTGGTGACTACTGGCTGTCTCCTTAGGCTGGTTTGCCATCACGATCAGATAGCACGCCGAATTGGGCCGCGGCGTTGAAGGCGACGACGCGTGGAACGCGGCCTCTCCTGCGGCGCCCGCTGGAGACAAAATGGAAAGCCGCGCGGTCGACGCAGGCCTTCGCGGGCCCATCCGCATTCACGTCGCGGCCACCCCCCCAGCTCAAGGCCGATAGCTGGCCCGAGCACAGGAGGCCTCGGAGCCACAGGAAGCGCGGCAACAAAAAGCCTTGCTCGAAGCTTGAGCCCAGTGGCCGCCGCGGTGGCGACGACGCTCATAAAGCCCAGCCAGTGCACGAACTGCGCGGCCGAAGCTCGCCGCCGGCCTCGGCGGCACCGCGCCGCGCGTGAACCGCGCGGCCCTTCGGCCACCTCGGGGAGCGCAGTGGCGAGCGCCAGGCCATGACCCGCGGATGAGGTCGCGGCCGCCAGCTCACAAGCGGAGGCGCGTCTTGAGAGCTCCACACTGCCAAGCCAGGAGATGGCAGGGGGCGACGCCAGCAAGGCGCCCCGGCGCAGATGTCGAGGGCGCGGTGCCCACGCGCAGGAATGCTGCACCGCGGAGGGCGCACACGCCACGCGCCCCTTCATTGCGTTAGGAGTAGATGTCGAGCCTAGGCCCACGTCATAACTGGACGACAAATCCTGCGCGGGTTAGCTCACGCCCAGCTGACCAAGGCGCTGAATTCACCAAGCCGGGGAACAAACTAGCTAGGCCCTCGGGCGCAAGCTCCGAGCTGGCCTTTTTCAACACGCCCAGCACGACCAATGGGCTTCAGAATTTACGCAATGGATCTGAGCAAATTCATAACCACCATCACTTCCAGGCGAATGTCGCGCCCCACAGCGTGAAATTCCGTCAGAGGTCCAAACACTTTCGAAGCCTAGCTTCTTCTGCAGGAGTTCCCGCCACCTTGACGTCGACGAAGTACTGCGAGCTAGGAGGCAGAGTTCACCGTTGTGGTGTTTGGCGATGAACTCGTTGTCGAAGGCCTCTGTGACCTGCATCGGCCAGCATCTGGGCGCACCCTTGCAGCCTGTGCCCAGCTTCTCCACGCAAAGAACCTCGAGCGCTGGATCGATTGTTCGAACGCTTTGATTTTGCAAAGAAAGGGCAACAGTACCGGCGAAGAGCTCGAAGTTGACTTCGCGCTGATACCTTGCCCGTTGCCTCTGCGTCGATCGCCCATCCTCGGCAGGCTGCCTCAGACAGGAACACTCGCCGTGAGGGTCGCGAGGAGGCGCCAGCGAA